GAGCAGCAGCGAGGATGCCACTCACCCACGCGGTGGAATCATGCGAGCAACGGATCACACCAGTGGAGAGAACCTCTTAACGGGGGGTCACCTGGACCCAGGCGGAAGGACAATCCCAGATCTTTCATTAACTACGTGTGTGCGTGCGTGCGCACCTGCGCCCGTGCACCACGGCAAGAGGTCAGCTCTGACCTTCCACCAGGTGGGTTAGAGGCATTGAGCTCAGGACGCCAGGGTTGGCAGCAAGTGCCTCTATCCACTGAGCCGTCTTACCAGAGGATGCCCAAGATAAGAAGTGCAGGGTACCCCAGACGATGAGTAGCCCAGGCCTGGGATGCTGGGATCTTGAATGGTCATCTTAGGAGGCTTCCCTGTCTCCCCTCCAGCTCCCCTCCCCCATTCCTGGCCTCTCCCAGATTCCCACACTCATGCCAATCTGGAACTCTAGCTCACTCCCCAGGCTTCCCTGGGGCCAGCCCTAGGGTCTTTGTCTCCTCTTCTAGGCAGGCCCTTCACTAGTGGGGATGGAGCAGAGGTAGGCAATGGGTGTGAAGGCTCACACTGAGGGAAAAAAGATCCCAGGGTCAAGAAGAGTTCAGCCTCACCACACTAGTGTTCACAGTCTCAAAACCAGAGGCAACAACAAAGAACTCAGAGGCGCAGACCTGTAATCCCTCTATTTGGGAAGTCAAAGCGGGAGGATTTCGGGGGTTTGAGCAAGCAACTTAGAGACACCATTTTTTAAGGAGCTATCTGAGGCCTAAACCATCTGCGATAGGGTAGGCATGGGGATTTACACACCATGTGGTGGTGGTGGTGCTGTTGTCATTTGAAAGAGAATCTCACGTAGCTCGGGTTGGCCTAGAAGTCAGTATGTATGACCTTGAACTCCTAACCCCCTTGCCTCTACTTCCTAAGTGCTGAGGGGACAGTTGTGCACCGCTATGCTTGGTTTACACGTGGCCTTTCTTTCTCTCTCTTTCTTCCTTCCTCTCGTTCTTTCTTTTTAATACAGCAGTCCTGTCCGTGGGGACAGAGAGACCTCGCTACCACAGGACTCCTCCCTCCTCTTCAATGGCAGTTCTGAGAGCAAGGCCCGGAAGGCTTCCTACTGCTCTAATGAAGACCTCTGCAGGGGTGAGGCGAGGGCCACTGAGGCCTGGGTATCTGCAGGGGTGAGGGAAGGGCCACTGAGACCTGGGTATCTGCAGGGGTGAGGCGAGGGCCACTGAGACCTGGGTATCTGCAGGGGTGAGGCGAGGGCCACTGAGACCTGGGTATCTGCAGGGGTGAGGCGAGGGCCACTGAGACCTGGGTATCTGCAGGGGTGAGGCGAGGGCCACTGAGGCCTGGGCAAAGAGGGTAGCTTGGAAAGGAGGTCCAGAATCCTCCTCCTCCCGAGTACCTCAGCTGTTCCTGGATCCTCTCACACCTGCAGAATCCCTAGATCTCACACGCAGTCACCTCCTCCCCTGCTCCATTCTAGGCCACCTTCCCCCGGCCATCCTGACCCTTCCTCCACTGCTCACGCCACACATGGTTCCTGAGCCTTTCCCTCTGATGTCACAGCCCTGCCCAGGGAACCGAGAATGTGGGTGGAGTGTGTGTGTGTGTGTGTGTGTCTCATTTGTTTTGATTTTATTTATGTGTGTTCATGGTATATTTATTTTTGAGATCGGGGCTCATGTAGCCAAGGCGGATCCTGAACTCTTTTTGTAAGCAAGAATAACTTGGGGGTCTGCTGTTGCTGTTTTGTTTTTGAGAAAGAGTTTGTGTAGCCCTGGCTGTCCTGGAACTTCCTTTGTAGAGCAGGCTGGCCTCAAACTTGGAGATCCACCTGCCTCTGCCTCCGGAGTGCCACCATAGGCTTTGAACTTCTGATTCTCCTGCCTCTACCTCCACCACGCCACCGCACCCAGATTGTGCGCTGCTGGGAACCCAACCCAGTATCTTATGCACGTAAACCACCCACCGTCCTGAGTTGCATCACTGGTCCTGGAATGCTTGTGAGGCAGAGTCTCGCTTTAGTATGACTGTGTCAGGCCACTCTTCCCAGATCAAGAGGAGGAAAATCCCAGCGTGTCAGCCCTGACTCCTGGGGCTTCTTAAGTCACAAAGAGGTGGGCACACAGGCCTGCACCCTTGACATGGCTTCATGAAGACTCCCTGGGGTGATCGTGGGATGACTGCTCCTGTCAGAGCTACCACCCCGTGACCTCAAAGAACCCAGCCTTCAAGGCTTAAGGGGGGTGGCACACGGACCATCTCGGGGGCAGAGAGGTGCGGACGGAGCCTCAGAGGAGAAGCCCCACTGCGTGTCGGGAGGACGTGTCCCTTGGGACCCTGGCTCTTTCTCTGCTGGTGTCTACGAGTTCTCAGAGACGAAGAGGAGAGGATTCTGGGGGGACTGTGACCCATCGTCTCTTCCTGCAGACGTTCTCTGTGGCAATGGGAGGGGGGAAGGGGGAGGAGGCAGGAGCACAGGCACAGAGGGAAACCCTGAGCTAAGGAAGGAAGAATGCAGGGAGAGAAGAATTGGGGGTGGTGGCCGGAAGCTAGAACAGAGGGGTGCGCAGGCCTTTAACTCCCTGGAGGAAGGAGAGAGTCAAACAGAAGGAGAGAGGAGACAAGGACAGGAAAGAAGGGGTCCTTTTGTAAACTGCTTGCCCAACACTCTTCTCCAGGCCCCTTCACGCCAGCATTCCTTTGGGGTGTTGTCCCTGGTCCTGGCCGAAGCTGACACAGATCCGCACACACGTGCGAGGCCGTGCCAACTTCACCCACTGGCTTCCCAGAAGAGGAGGCCTCGGTCGGTGTAGCGGGGAGCAGAGGCAGGGCCTCAGCGGGCGGGCGGCGGCGCGGAGCGGGCCGTGGAGTGGGGCGCCTGCCCCCACAGGTGGCGAGCGAGCCCGCTCTCGCTCACCCACCTGTTATTGTCCCTAGTCTCTGGCTCTGGTGACTTTGGCCATGCCTCCCCTCACTGTGGCCATCATCTGATGGCCACGCCAGCACCCCCGCTGCTCTGCCGCTGCCTCCGAAGACCACTCGCCACTTCCTGCTCCCCATCGGGCTGGGGGCTGGGGGGGCCAAGCACCTAGGTGGGGGTGGGAGGCCTGGTGTACCGTGGAGTGCGTGGGTGCTAGGGACCCGGCAGAGGAGGGGGTCTCGGTGACGGATGGTGCTGATTCTTTGGCGAGGGGATAGTAGTGGAGGGGTGAAGGCGGGTTGGGGGAGGGGTGGCGAGGAAGCAGGGTGTGCGTGTGGGGGGGGAGCAGGACCAGGCTCACATTTGCCATTCAGGGCAGCTGACAATAAAAATGCTTTATTGCCAAGAAACTGGATCGATCGGGGCTGGAGGGGGCCGGCAGGGGGGACGCGGAGGGCTCAGCACAGAGGCCGGCGGCCCGGCCTCCGCAGCGACCAGGGCCCCAGCCGCCCTCCCCCCTGCGCCCCCCTCCCCGCCTCCTGCCCTTTCTCTCTCCTGCAGACACCGCTTAGTTCTTATTATATTTTTTCTTATATATTTTTCCCCCAGCTTCTCCTGCTCCTGTTTTTTTTTTTTTAATTTTTTTTTAAAACTCACTGTACTCCCAGTGCTGCAGGCTGGGTGGAGATGGGGTGGAGGCCTCTGCCAAGGCCAGGCTCTGCCCACTGGCTGCTGGGGCTGCTGTCTATGGGGTGAACCCCCACTTTAACTTCATAACACTCACCCTGGTTCAATCAAGCTCCCCCAAAGCTTGGCCTCACGTGTACCATTCTCTCCCGCTGCTACCCTTCCTAAGGACTTCCTTCTGACTTAGGGGTACCCCACACCCACTGTAATGGGCTCAGGGCCCTGGACAGACCCCCCCTTCCCCTCCCCCATACCTGGCCCCTTGCTTCCTCATGGAGTCATTTGGCTGATGGTCAGAACTGTCCGTCAAGGGGGCTCTGAGCCCCTGAGGACTCAGATGGGAGGAGGGAGGGGGAGAGGTCGAGGGTCAGGCCACGTCCCCCTCAGCTCATCTCTCTCCCCTCCCCCTTCCTAACAAAGGGAACAGCAGACCATCAGTGCTGGGGGGGGTGCCTGGTAGTCAGAGGGAAGCCAGAGAGGGGCTGCTGTGGATGGCCATGGGCAGGAGGCAGGGTGAGGGCTGCCTGCCCCTCCTCTGCCCGCCCCCTCGGGTCAAGGCTAAGGTGATTCCTCAACCTCTCTAGGCTGGAAGGGGAGGAGGGTCTCGAAGACAAAGAATAGGAGCCAGGGGGTTGGGGGCTGGCAGGGGAGCACCTGGGACCCACAATCTTGGCTGAGGGAGGGACAGCAAACACCCTGCTCGCCCTGGCTCCCCCTGCCTCCCTCTGGGTCTCAGGGCTGAGGCAGGATGCCGCTGAGGTTAAGGAGGAAACTGAGGCCCAAGGAAGAGAAGCAGAACCCCAGGGACAGGTGTCGCCCTAGGCTTTCTGTCCCATTCTTGATCCTCTGCTGCTCAACCTGGCAAGGGAGACACCGTCCCGGGCACATGCCTGTGGTTAGAGACTCAGCCGAAAAGGGCAAGGACTCCCCTCACCCTGCCCCTGGTCCCCCAGTACCTGGCAACGTTTCTCCTGCTAGTGTCACACAGCAAAAGTGACCGACCCACAGCCTGGTCTGCCCTAACAGGACGTGCCTTGAGGCCTCCCACCTGCCTAGCCTGACTACGACTGGCAAACAGGAGCCATGGCTGGCAGCCATCCCTGCCTACGGGGATAAAGAGCCACAGGGAAAACAAAAAGAATGCTCGAACCCTAGGTGTTTAAATTCTGCCAAGGCTCAGGGGGCTCTCGGGGAGAAAGATGGCCGTAGCCAAAAGGAAGTGTGGGGGGGGGACATGGCATACCTCTATTTTTAGGGGAGCTCAAACGTGCTTCCCCAGCCTGCCCAGGAGGCCCTAGATGCACCCAGGACTAAGGGGTCCCGGCTGCCCTCCCCCCAAACCTCCCCTCCCTTCTCTCGCTCTCTTTCTCGCTGGCTATCGACCGACCAGGCTGTGACATGGTGGATCAATACAGCAGGGATATAAAGCCGGCTGGCTGGCTGCCTGCCTCTGCCTCTCTCTCTCCCTAGCTTCTCTTCCCTTTCTTTCCCGGAGCCAGCCGCACCCAGGCCCCCACCCTTACCCCTACCTCCGAGGGGCCAGCCTCCACCCCATACTGCCCTACTGCGGGAGAGTTTAGGGAGGCTGAGAGCTTGGAGAGCCAGGAGAGGGGGTGAGTATGAGGAAGCAGACGGGTGTGGGGGGGGTCACACTTGCAGGTCAGGTGGTTGGGACAAACTGAGGAGCAACAGTCCTTTAGGAGGAAATCGAGCCCCCCCCCCCCGTTGGGAGCATCTCAGAGAGATGGGGCCCTTTGAAGGTATGCGAGGGTGAGGATGGAGCCCTTGGGAGGTGGGCAGGGTCTTGGCTGGGTGGAGGGGGATGGGATATGGCTTCCTGAGCCGGTGGGACAAGGGAAGGAAGACCTAGGTGCTGGAGAAGGGTGAATGGAAGAGTGGGCTCTTGGGACAAGCCTGTCACCACCCACAGGACCACAGCTACCCCATTCTGTGGGTCCCTGTAGACCCACCTTGCCCACACCCCAGGGCCTGGGTTGAATGTGCTGGGGTTCGGGCGGGTTCTTTTAGTGTGTCAGATAGGAGGTTCCAGCCAAAGGGCTGTTGAGTCCGAACTGCTGCTATATGTGTGAGGGTACACAGGTCCTCAAGCCGTGCTGGGGTTGGAGGACGGGGCTCCAGGATTGTCCCCAGACTGCCTTCACCCTGGAGTCATGACTGTGTGTGACTGTGAGTCTGTGAGGTTTATCCAGGAACACTAGGGGTTGTGCATATACATCCATGGTGTCCTCCTGACATGGGGTGTCCTCGAATGCCCACCGTGTGGCCCTTGGGAAGACGGGAATGAACCCCAAGGATACACTCCATTCCTAGGAAGGGTGGCGGCTATGTGTTCCTACTCCAGCAAGTTAGCATCTGGTGACAAGTCCATGTCCCTGGTGGAGTGTGGGTGTCTCGGAGCGAGCCTGTATGTGTCCCTGTGTCTATGTCAGTGGGTGGCTATGCCTGTTTCAGAGCCCTGTGGTCCTCTGTGCGTGTGTGGAAGGCTCCGTGTGAGCAGTGGAGACTGGGTGGGTTCTCTATGTGTCTACCTGCTCCAGATGGCCCTGGGTGTAATGGCCAAGAGAGTTCCCATGAGTGGGATGGAGGCTCTGGGTGTGTCCCTGTGTGTGTCATGGTGACTTAGTACACACGATGGGGGTAGAGGTCACATCCCCGAGTCTGAGGGGAAGGGGTGAGGCACTGGCCATGAGGTTTGTCTCTCCATCATCGCTCCATAGGGCCCTGCTGCCTTCCTTCTTTCCCCGCCAGAGGCCCCAGACCCCTGCCAGGATGGGCTCAGGCTCCCCCTGCTTCCTTCTCCCACCTTGGGGGGTGCCCCTCTGTCCCTCAGCACCCTCTGCTTTGGTGGACACTACCTCAACTCCACCAAGCGACCTCCGTCCCTCCCAACCCCCCCAGTGCCACCCGCTCCCCCCGCCCTCCCCCCACCACAAGTCCAGTCCAACCCAGACAAAAGCAATTACTCCTGAGGTGGATGTGAGTGTGGGTGTTAGAAACAGAAAAAAAAATAGTGGGGGGAAGGGAGGGGGAGGGAGACACACAGAGGCAGGGATGGTCAGCTAGAGTCCTGGAGAGACAGGGATGAAGAAAAAGACAGAGAGAGGGAGAGAAAGGAGGAGACCCAGAGCTAGGCACTGGCAGAAACCGAGAGACCGCGGTGGACACACCGTCCAGGAGACAGGCAGAAGGGAAAAACATGGAGGGCAAAGGAGAGAAACCATGCCAGGGAGACACCGGGAAGGAGGTCAGGCAGGGAGCCGCAGAGATGAGAGAAAGGGTAGAGCCAGGGTGGGGGGCCGGGGCGATGCGGGGAGAGGAACCAGAAAAGGCTATGGGGGAGCCCCAGCCAGGGACAGCTAGGAAACAGAGAGGGAGACACACAAAGAGTAAGGATGAGATCAGACAGACGCAGATGAAAGACAGATGTGCAGGCAGAGGCAGGGAAAGCCACTAGTGTTGTCGTGAGGACCCCAAGTCAGCAAAGATGGGACGCAGGTTCAAAGTCCTCTCCCCACCACACACACACACATACACACTCACACACTCACACATACTCTCTCTCTCTCTCTCTCTCTCTCTCTCTCTCTCTCTCTCTCTCTCTCTCTCTCTCTCTCTCAGCCTTCTCCCCAAACCCTAGGCCAGAAGTAAGGTGTCACCAAGTCCTCCCCATAATCCTTGGCTCCCCGCAGAGCCAGAGTGAGCAGGGGGCAGGATCGACAGCGAGTCTCGGGTATCAGCGGGGAGCATTCGGCCTCCCTACCTACCGACACCCCAGCCAGCATGGTCACCCCCCACGAGCCGCACACCACATCACTGGTACCAGATACACTCGCCCAGTGAGGACACCTGGAGCCTGGCATGAGACGCTTCCTGCCTGCCTCACAGCTGTGCCCCCCCTCCTCACCCCCTCAGCTTCCCTCTTGACACCTTGTCCCACCTACAGTGTGTCCTCACGGACTCTGGCTTAGGAGAGAACGTCCTGCCTTTCCTGCCCTGCTCTCCCGTCGTCCCCCACCCCATTTCCCCTGCCGCCCTTCTCAAGAGCTCCCCACATTTCTCAAACGTCAGACCCCCTCTGAACCCCCTACTGGCCACGTGCCTCAAGAGAATTGCACTCCCCAGTCACCACCCACCCCCCACCACCACCACCGAAAAAGCTGTCCGGGAGTAGCGGGGGGCAGAGGAAGCCACCTCCCGGTTCTCTGGTTTTCTTCCGAACCCCTTTCCTTCCCGTGCCAGGCCCCGCACCTCCATTTGGCTAACGAGCTCTTTGTACACCTCCAGGCTCAGAGGAGGAGGATGGAGGGCTGACAGACATTCGGACGAGGGCTGACAGACATTCGAACGAGGGCTGACAGGCATTCGGACGACGTCCGACAGAACAGCACGAGGAGCGCCTGTTTCGGGAGCACAGAGAGAAGCGGGAGAACAGAAGGCCAGGAGGGGAGACCTGTGCAACCGGACACCGGCACTCAGTGGGGTTCCCAACAGGCCTTGCACAGAGCTCCGGGGGGTTACTATAAGGTCCTGGATGGGGGGGGGGGCTCTGAACTCAACAGCCTGCCTTCATTTTGCCGTGGGACTGTCCGGGATTCCAGCAACTTAGCGATCCTAGGCTGCAACAAGGTGAGCTTTGTATTTTTCCGCCTCTCCCATAACTGTAAGCCCCACCCTGTGGGTAAGAGACACTCCCAAATTACAACTGTTTCCACCCGCCCTGTATGCAGACACCAACCACAAAGGCATCAAAGCTGTCACTTGCTACCTCCTAGAATGCCCTGTCCTCAAATCTGAACTTCACAGCCAACAATGAACGATGCCCCCCCCCCCGATGCCCCGTTCAGGCAGTGTGTCTGGCACTTGTCTCTGAGGAGCTGTCCCATCCCCCAAACCAAGAGCGCTGTCCTACCACTGAAGCCGTCTCTGACCCCGCCCTAAGCCACAAAGGTCACAGCACACACCCTAGTGCTAAAGTCAAGTCCCACCCCATTCCCATTCCACAGATGCAGCTCAAACCGACGCTGGCCGGACCCGGAGAGCTGGGAAAATTGTTGGCCCACCTGCTGGTTCGCTGGCCTACCCACAGGCACGGCCATCCCACTTTTACCTGCCTGAGACATCCCCACCCAGTCACACAGACTGCTTCACACAGCCCTGGGCTCTTCCAAGCCCCAGCCATTCAAGCCTTGCCTCCTCACGCCTTTGGGGCTTCCTGCAGGGGAGTGTAGGAGTCTCGGGACACGTGCCTCGTCACCTCTGTGACCTGTGTTTGACCACTGCACGCTTTTGTGCGTGGAGCGGGCAGAAGGGAGGATGGTGATTCAGCCCTATTCCTGCCTTGGCATCCAGAGGGCATCAGCCCCGGGGGTCTGTAAGGCCACACTCATCTGCAAGCCTCCCCCTGGAGCGAAGAACTCCCTCCCAAAGATACCCCAGAGGCCCCCTCTCTCCTCTGACACCTTGCAGCCCCAGACTTGATGTAGTCTGTGCCTGATTCTTCCCCAGCCCGGGGACCCCTCTGCGGCCCCGGACATCCTTCTGCTTCTCAGTTACTCCAGGCCTAGTACGTGAGGGATCCCCGGGTGGGGCAGGGGTGCTGTGGCAATAAATGGATGGATATGGATTATGGCTGTGTGTGTTTGCTCCTTTATTTATTCATTCTACAAATACTTTCTGAGCATTGACATTGTACCAGGAAGCCACTGCAGACAAACAGAGGGCTCTCCTCCCTCTGAAGCTTATGGGGAGACACAAAATCCAAGTGCCAAGGCGGGGGGGGTGTGAAACAGCCAGGGATGGGGGTTGGACTGCCCAGGGCACAGTGCCTCAGACAGAAGGCTAGGGCGGCCGAAGTAGACGCGGGGGGGGAGTCTCGGTCATCCTGGGACTCCAGCTCTTATGGGGAGCACTGAGAAGACCTGGGACACATCTGGGAAGCTACCTGCCTTCCAAGTAGAGATAAAAGAGAGCAGGGTGAGCATTTTGTTGTTGTTGTGGATGCCTGTGGCTGTTTGTGAGCTCTTAGGAGCTGCAGGATGGGGGTGGGAGGTCTACGTTGCCCTTGAACCACTCAAGCACTGTGGCCATGGTTTTCAAAGCCGGTTTGCAAGAAACCCCAGCAGCCAAACACCCCTCTACTGTCCCTAGTTTTACCCAGCGAACCCACAAATAGTCCTGGAGGTGTTAGCCAAGCCCTTCCGACTCTAACCCCCCCCCCCCCACTGCAGCCTGATAGAGCCTCCCTCGGACACCAAGGGCATCTGAGGACATGAGAAGCCTGGGAGAGATGTAATATGACTCCTTGAAGAGGCTGGGCCTGAGGCTCACGCCTGTAATCTTAGTGGGAACCTGAGGCAGGAGGATTCAGAGTTTGAGGTTGGCCTGGGCTACAGAGGGAGGAGGAAGGATAGATGTGTGAGTGGACAGACAGAGAGACAGCTGGGAATTCTGTGGCTAAGGTGCCCACATACTAACCGGCTAAAACAAGAGGTCATGAATGAACTCCATGGTGGGTGTGAATGTCCCCAAGTCACTCTGTATGGTGGGTGTGACCATCCTGAGTCACTGAACTCGGTACACACAGGTAAGCTTTCCAGTCTGTAACTATTGTAACACCGCACATTTATGGCCCTGAAGAGTGGTTTGGACCAGAAAGAAAAATTTTTAAGTCTACATTACTTGTCACCATTTAAAAACCGGGAGTTGTTCCATTAAAATAAAAAGTCTTTCTTTTTTTCCTCTCATTTTTCTCTTTGAGACAGGGTCTCACGGAGCCCAAGCTGGCCTCAAACTCACTATGTGACCAAAGATGACCTCAAACTTCCGATCCTTCTGCCTCTGCCTCTCGGGTGCTGGGATGGCAGGCACACGGATTGCACGATCGCACACAGCGCTGAGGATGGAACCCAAGGCTTGGCCCATGCTGAGTGAGCGGGCTCTGTACAAATGGAACTGTAATCCCAGCCCTTCCGCTCCTCCGGAAAACGCAAAACCGAGCGACTCAGAGCTGTCTGTAGATGAACAAGAATCTGCCCCTCCCCACTCTCCAGTCCACCACGACCCCCTGCCACCCCAGATGAATGGCAAACATGGGTTACAGCGCTCCCCGGCTTCCCAAAGGACACCTGTGATTCAGGGACAACAGGGGATGCTGACCAGGAGGCCTACAAGGATGACAGGCCCTGAGGCCTGTGGGCTCAGCTGTTCTAGTTAAAATAGGGGTGGTAGCATGAGGGGTCCCCCTTCCCAGGCCTCACTTCCCATGCTCCACCGACGCTCATTGCCAGAAGAAGGGACCAGGGTGGGTTGGGGTGGGGGTGTCAAACTAAGCAGAGTCAACAGCAGGACAACCACCCACACATGTGGTTCCCACAGCACTGAACCCCCGGGGGGTCCTGGCTTCATTCTGGGAGCCGTGCTGGGCTCTGAGAATCCCTGCCTGTTCAGGGGGCGGGGTTTTTCTAGCTGTGCGGGCAGTTTCCACCCTCTGCCTGGATCTCCATGCTTTGGAGAGCGGCTTCTCTATTGCAGAGGGAAACTGAACCACACCTGCAATCATACAATCTGTCTGCCCCCCTCTACCTTCTTCTGCCCTCAATGATACCGCTGAAGGTGGGAGGGCTTTGTCATCCTCGCTTTAAAATGTTAAATTTACACGTATTTATCTGTTTGTGTGTGTGTGTCTGTTGTGGGGGGGGCAGGTACAATTGCTGTGATCTGTGTGCGGGGGTCAGAGGATAACCTACGGGAGTTGGTTCTCTCCTTCCATCGCGCGGATTCAGAGACAGACTCGGGGCCAAAAGGCTTGGTGGCAAGCACCTTTACCCACTGAGCCATCTTGCCAGCCCCCGTTTTCATTTATAGGTGACAGCACCACAGCCCTAACTTCCTCAAATCCCTTGTCATCGCGCACGCCTGCCCCAAAGATGTGAACTAAACCGTCATAGTCCACTGTCGCCAACCCTCAGAAACACTTGTTTGGCCAGGAAGCCACAGGACGCTCTGAGAAAATAAAAATGCCAGACAGAGTGTAATCCCTGGGAAGCAGAAACAGCACCGAGCATGGTGACCACCCCCAAGGGGAGGCCAGGGACAAGGACTCAGGGAAGCAAGAAGCATGGAAATACACAACCCACAAGCCACAACTCTTACCTCTTGGGCAGACGCAGCAAAGCTAATACATTCAGGCCACCAACCCGGTCCAGCCGAGAACCTGGAGGGAGAGAGGACAGAGTGAATGGCCCTGGCCAGTGGTCTGGGCCTCATGTAGGATGAGGCTCCCCCTCCAGCAGAGGTGCCCTCCTCCTGTCTCCCCATCAACAAATCCGCAAACCATGGGGCCAAGTACCAGGGACTCAGGCCCTACTGAGTTGCTCTCACTTCTGGCCTCTTAAGACTCAATGTTCCCATCCTATAAATGGGCCCACTGGTGCCTACCTGGGAAGCTTTTTGTTGTTGTTTTGGTTTTAAACTTTACATATGTATTTTGTGTGCCTGCGTTGGTGCGTGCATAGAACACATGCCAGAGTCCATAGAACACAGATCAAAGGACAACTTCCAGGAACCTGTTTTCTTCACTATACCATGTGGAGCCTGGGGGCTGAACTCAAGTCATCAGGCTTGGTTGGTGGTGAGTGCTTCTACCCACTGAACCATCTCTCTCTACCCCTTGTTTCGATTTTGAAACTGGATCTCACTATGCATCTCCAGCCGGCCTGGAACTTGCTGTGTAGACCAGGCTGGCCTAACTCCCAGGGATGTGTGTTTGTTTCCCCAGACCATGCCCAGCCCTATTCATTTTTAAAGACAATCTTTCTACGCTACTATGTAGCCCATGCTGGCCTCAAGCTCAGGAGCCTCCTGCCGCAGCCTCCTGAGCACTGCCTGGGATTGGAGTGTGCCACCACACTGCCTCGGGAAGTTCCTGGAAGGACAGGGACCTTCACATTGCAACGTTGTTAGCATTTGGCAGTGGCCCCGGCTAATTTGGAGTATTTATAAGATCACAAATGGATGGCAGAGTGAATCATAAATTGATAGACGGGTAAATTAATTAATTAGCAAACTGTATCTTTAAGGAGTGCTGGCAAGATCTGGTGAGCAGTAAATCTGGAAGGGTTGACCGTTATGAAGTGCCTTTGGAGTGGCGAGGTTGCAGTGTTTCTGACTTGGGCATCTGTGTATTCAATTACTCATTTGTGCAACAAATACTTCCCTTCCTTTTCTTCCCCCCTCCCCTTCCCTTTCTTCCTACGTCCTTCCCACCGCTCTTAGAGACAGGACCTCATATGTAGCCCAGGTTGGCCCGGAACTCACTATGTAGTCCACACTGACCTCAAACTCACAATCCTCCTGCCTCAGCCTCACCAGTGCTAGGACTGCAGGCTTGAGCCACTATGCTTGGCCGTTTAAACGCTGACGTTTTTCTAAAGCGCCTCTGACCCAAGCGTGGGAGTCGGAGGCATGGGTTAGACCAGATGTCTGTCCTGCCTCCCCAGCACTCACAGGCAAGCTGGGAAGGCAGGGTAGAGGGCCACCACCAATGCTGGTAGGCAGAAAGGGACAGGGAACCCAGGCAGGAGGAAGCAGAGGGAGCAACAGCCAAATCTGTGAATGAACTTTGGTCCAGGACGGCAGGCAGTCCCCAAGGAACACTGGCTTCTAAACATCCTCACAGCCCTACAGGATGGCAGAGGGAGGCTCCATCTGCTCCCTCTCCGGGTGGGGCAGCGGGGGTCATGACTTAAAGCTACATTGAGAGCAGCTGTTGGCGCAGAGCTTGGGTCTCCCTGCCTGCTTCTGAGACCTGGTTTCCCACCTCCCAGAGATGGAGGCTTCTTGGGAAAGCTGCCCAAGCCCATGTAAAGACCATTTGGGCCCCTGCCTTCTATAAGCATTTAGGTGAACCCAGGGGCTAGCTGGACATGGCAGCTCCCACGTTAGCAGGTGGCAGTCTAAGGCAAGAGGATCTTAGCTCAAGGCCAGCCTGGGCTACAGAGCAAGACTGTCTCAGTAGAGTTATGGCTGGAGGAATCAGTGAAATGTTGACCCCAGGAGCATCCCCAGAAACCACATGTAAAAAGCAGGTGTGGTGTCAAAGTTCCAGTGCTGGGGAGGCAGAGAGGCAGGAGGATCACTGGCCAGCCAGCCTCAGCTAATCCCAGTGGAAGATCTGGGAGAGCCCCGGATCCCAGAGAGAGACTCTGCCTCAAAAATCAAGGTGGACAGTTAATGAGGAATAGCACCAAAGATCTCCACAACAACCCTCCAACGCGCACGCGCGCGCGCACGCGCACACACACACACACACACACACACACACACACACACACACACACACACTGTATTGTAACAGTTTCCTCCTAGACAGAAACATTTTATCCCACAGGGAAGCTCCTTAAGCAGGAAGGCAAACAACTCAAAATATCTTCAGGAAGTTCCTGAAACCCACAGGATGCACCAGGCCCCTCCCTGCCAGGGTCAGCAATAAGGGCTGGGGGTCCCTCTCAGAAAAAGGAAGCCAAACTACAGAGAAGACTGAGACCAGGCCAGACTGCCTGGAAGAAGCAGAAACCAGCTGAGCAGCCTGGAAGAGGTTTAGACCAGCTGAGGAACCCAGAAAAG